AGGACCGTACGTCGAGGACGCTGATTGGAGCGGGTGAGCTTTCGAGGGGGTTTATTGGTATAAGGCTATACAGGTACATTCGACAATGAAAGCGGAGCGAGATGACTCACACTTGGTCTGGCATCGATGATTAGGGCATCAGAATAATCGGCATCTATCTTTTATTTCAGATATTGGTTGTTTCAATTTCTATGAATAAACTTGCATGTGATGTTTGCTATAGGACAAAACAAACACGTTCTCCTTTTCCGATAAGTAAGAGTAATGCCACTACTCGTTTTGAATTAGTTCATTGTGATTTGTGGGAACCGTATCGGAAACTGCTTCTTGTGGTGCATATTACTTTCTTACTTTGGTTGATGATTATAGTCGGGGAGTTCGGGTGTATTTGATGAGGGAAAAGAGTGAGGCTAGCAAGTTTCTTATGCTCTTTTGTAAACTTGTTAGGACACAATTTGATAAATTTGTGAAGCGTATTTGAAGTGATAATGGTCTTGAATTTACGGGGCCTATGCAAGCATTTTATGAGGAAAATGAAACAGTACACGTAACTAGTTGTACAGATACACCTCAACAAAATGGAAGAGTTGAACGCAAACAGAGGAATGTCCTTGAAGTGGCTAGAGCACTTTGTTTTCAAGCTTCTTTGCCTATTAAGTTTTGGAGAGAATGTGTCCTAACCGCAGTTTATCTTATTAATTGTACACCCACCATAAAGCTAGATAAGAAATCGCCTTATAAAATTTTATTTGGCAAGAAACCTATGTATGATCATATCAAGGTGTTTGGATGTCTATGTTATGCACACAATAATCCTAGACAAAAAGATAAGCTTGGCTCGAGAAGTAGGAAATGTGTGTTTGTAGGCTATCCACATGGAAAAAAGGGTTGGTGACTTCATGATTTGGAGAAAAATGAATTTTTCTATTCAAGGTATGTATCTTTTCATGAAGATGTCTTCCTGTTTGCTCAAAGTGATAAAAATCTTCATTCTCTTGCTCATAATGTTTCCGATCAAGTGTTTGGGCCGTATGATGATTTCGGTTGTGATGACGAGATAATTGAGAGCGAGAGGGAGCATTACTCCAACTCGTAATGTTGGTACTCGAGATGAGGGAGAAGATGCAAGTCCAGTTCGTGAGGATGATGCAAGCCTCGATCGTGAGGTTGTAGCTCAAACCGAGGGGGTAGCTAGGTGGCCGAGAAGAGAGACTAAAACACCGACACGTCTCGAAGCCTTTTTTCTTTATTCGGCAAGGATTGGATGGCAACGGAATGCCCAACTAGAGTTTGGGCAGGGGCGTGCACAACAGCAGCGTGTAGGAGTGCACGGCTATGCACGTGGCTTGGCTGGGCCGAGTGCTACAACGCAGCAGCGCGTACGACTCCTCGATGCACTGATGCACGACCGTGCGCACTAGCAGAGAGGCATCAAAGGACGGGTAGAGGTCTATCAAGTTTGGCTGAGCAGTGGAGTGTTGGGGTTGAACACACGACAACTTGTGCCCTTCCGGATTTTGTGTCAAAAGTAGGCATGCAAGAAATCACATCAAATAAAAGAAAACTTACAGGAAATAAAGAACAAAAGAAGAAAACACCAGATTTAACGAGGTTCGACAAATGTGCCTACGTCCTCGGGAGCCACACCAAAAATTCTTTGATTAATTGAAGAAGATTACAATGCTCACAATAGGTCACACTCTCTCTAAGATCTCTGATCTCAAAGTGCCATCAAAACCCTCTCGAAGACGTCCTCACATAACCCAAAAATGATTTAGGAAACATATATATACTCAGCCCAAAAATGGAATCCAACCCCATCCAGGAAACCACCAGACCTGATATTGGTCAACCGATAGTATTACATCGGTCGACCGGTTGATCGCCATCGGTCGATCAATAGTATGCTTCGATTGACCGTCCAGAACTTTGTTTCTACAGGGTTCTCGTGCATGTTTTCGATCGACCGGGGCAAGTCCATCGGTCGACCATCCCGAAACTCCTGTAATATTTTTGACTTCACATCAGTCAACCGGTGTCACTGCTTCGGTCGACTAACCAGAGCAAATTTTCCTGCTTAGTTTCCTACAATCGATTCGGTCGATCGATCCATGCATGTCGGTCAACCGAGGCTGAGTTTTCCAGTTTTGTTGATTTTGATCTAGGTTTGGGTCTACACTTCTCGAAACTAACATGGAGGTGTTTCGTCGGCCAATCACGCGTCTATTTTGACTCAAAAAATTTGTCACAAAGTCACCGGCATTTTGTTGGAGCTATTACTTTGGATGTCAAACTAAAGTTCTGTGCAGAGGCAGTTCAGAATGAACGATGGTGTAAAGTGATGGCCGAGGAAATTGGAGCACTTGAGGCCAACCAAATCTGGACGCATAAGCCACTACGTCAAGAGATGAAGCTGATGGACTGTCATTGGGTTTACAAAATTAAGCGCAAAGCGGATGGGACCAAGAAGTGATACAAGGCAAGACTCGTTGCCAAGTGATTCACGCAAGTAGAGGGCCTCGATTTCCATAAGACGTTCGCTCCAGTTACAAAGCTTGTTTCGGTTCGAGTTTTTCTATCAGTGGCTGCAACACGATATGAGAGCTATATCAAATGGACGTGAATAATGCCTTCCTACATAGAGATCTTGATGAGGAGTGTACATGAAGCTATCTCAAGGCTTCCGAACTGATTGTGGAGATCGCATTTGCCGTCTTCATAAATCCATTTTACGGACTACGCCAAGCTTCACGAAATTGGTTCAACAAATTGACCGGAGTGCTCAAGCAGTATCGCTTTTCTCAATCCTTGGCAGATTATTCCTTATTTACTTATCGTCAGAATGGCGTGTTCATGAGTCTTCTTGTGTATGTCGACGATGTTATTTTGGTCGGGAATGATCATGATGAATGTGCACCTTTCAAACGCTACTTACATGAGTGCTTTCATATCAAGGATTTGGCTGATTTGAAATTTTTTCTTGCCGTTGAAGTTGCTAGGTCGCAGATTGACATTTCCTTTTGTCAAAAAAAAGTATGCCTTGGATATTCTTGGCGAGACAGGCTTACTTGGAAGCAAGCTGACAGAGACACCAATGGAGCAGGGCCACAAGATCACTTTGGCTGAGGGGGAGGAGACAGATGGTGCGGCCTATCGATGACTTGTAGTTCGCTTGATCTATCTGACCATCACACATCCAGAGATTTCATACTCGATTCATGTTCTTTCTCAGTTTGCTCAAGCGCCTCGCAAAGAACACTTTGAGGCAGCGATGCAAGTTGTGAGATACATCAAGGGAAGTCCGGGCCAATGAATTCTACTATGATCCGATTGCAATCCTATTGCGACTCAGATTGCGATCCTATTACTCGTTGCTTAGTTAGTGGCTACTTCGTCACACTCGGGGAGTCACCCATTTCTTGGAAAACGAAGAAGCAGAGTACCGTCTCGAGATCGTCGATAGAAGCAGAGTACCGGAGCTATGTGGCAGCCCGCAACAGTGAGTTTGTATGGCTGACAGTCATTGTTGACTTCACTTTCAGTGGATCACTGATAGTCTATGGAGCCACTTTGTGATAGTCAATCAGTTATTCACATAACGGCCAATCCAGTCTTTCATGAGCGGATGAAGCACATTGAGATAGATTATCACTACGTTCGCGAGCAAGTGCAGATTGAAAAAAATTGTTACAACACCCATTCGTTCACAGTTTCAATTAGCGGACATTTTTACGAAGGCACTTGCTAGACCACAATTTCATTTCTTGTTAGGCAAGTTGGGCATTCACGATGTGTATGTGCCAACTTGAGAGGGAGTGTTGATAATGTAATATTTATTGTATATTAGATGGGAGATAATTATGCAGTTAGTTGGGTGGTTACCTTATTAGATAGGAGATAATTACGCACTTAGTTAGTTGGTTACCTTATTTAGAAGATAGCTAGCAATATATATTAGTAGTAATTCTTTGTATTGAAACATTAATCAAGGGAAATAGTTCTCTCCAAATTTCTTCTCATTAGATTTTTACAGAACTCCTATATGTATCCATATCCAAACCTCTATTCAATTCTATATCCGAATCCATATCCGTGTCAAAAGAAAATTCCAAATATCCATATATGTATTCAAAAATTGAAGCTATATCTATCGTTATATTTGTATCCGATTAAAATACAAAACAATATCCATATCCATATCAATATGCGAATGATTTCAAATACTGATTATCATAGACATATTCTTTTGGAATACAATTGCAGATCGGAACAGATCAGATATATTTGAACTGTTTTTGTGCCCGTAGGATGAGGTCATGCATTAGGCCAAACTAATGCGAGATGACCAGTTTAGGGGCTGTATGGTTTATATAAATTTTTAGTATTTGGGGTGGATTATAAATTCTAGAATAAAAAAGTGATATTTTTTGGATTCCATAGTTGGTTGTTTGTTTCAATAAATTTTTTGGAATGTTTAATCTCTAAAATGCAAAAAGCAACCAATTTTTAGAATTTGTCATATCCTCTCAACTGGAGAGGATTTGACAAATCCTATAGATGGGTATGGTTACTCCAATTGCTATACCATTGTATTATTCTCTTGTGGGGAGGTAAGGTCGTGAAGGTAAATATATTCAGCTCTCCTTTTTTTTAAAAAAAAATTGAAACAAATAATAAATTACAAATTCTAAGATTTGTTATCCTAAAAGTTTGTGCTTGAACCAAATAAGAGATTATAAATTTTAGAATTTACTTTCCTATAATAATTTTGAACCGAATAAAACATTAAAAATTAAAATATGTATAAAACACTATAAATTTAAAATTCTCACGAGATTATAAATCCTAAAATTTTAGGATTTCACCCAAACAGCCCTAAATGGGCTATTTTATGAGAAGTAGTTCAGGGGAGAGACCGCAACGCAAACTTGCATCAACCCATTTGCTGTCACCTTCAGTGGGGTCCACGGCTTTTCGTTGTTATTTGCAAAAAATGAGATAATTTAATAATTATTTTCATCTGATCACCATTTACTTCTTTATTCATCCACAAAATTTATAAAATAGAAGCCGGGGATCCAGAGAGGGGTTTAATTTCTTGCTGCTATCTTTCTCGAGATCGAATCCGAAGGTAATTTCGATCTCTGCAACCCAAGCGTTTTAACTTTTTGACAGATTGCTGCTCGATCTCGATCAGTAGATTTCTTTGTTTTTTGTTTTTTGTTTTTGGCATTTTCTCCATTTAATTCTGTAAATCGAGCAAATTTCCAGTGATTGAGACTTAATTTAGTTGCGGATTCGGTTTTGGTTAAGGATCTGATGATCTCATCTTTGTAGATCTAGAGGTTTTATAAAAACGAGTCCTTTTAGATTTCTAAGATGACTTAGTACTAGGTATTTAATTAGATTTGAAGTGCTTTTTGGAGAACTCTTGAATCCACTTCATTTTTTTGGAGTAATTTTTGGTCCATTTGCGCTTTTTCTTATTTATTGATTATTAGACCTTATTATTATTATTTTTTCAAATTGCTATAGGTGAACATGGGTGTGGTGCAGAAAATTGCTGATATGGAGGAGGGAACACTGGAGGTTGGCATGGGTATGTTAATCCTCAGCTTTGTATTATACTGTTCACAATTGATGCTTTACCTACCAATTTATTCAATTGGAACACAATGTGATAATGTTCAAATGTTGACTTAGAGAATGAAAAGAACAATAACATGACAGGGAAAGTATTCAAACAGATTCTTTTTACATTATATAGGTAGTAGTTACTAATTAGCGTACACATAATTCTTTTAATAAGCAGTTTGCAATAGCGTAAATTTGATTTAATCAAAGGGTATAGGAGGCTAATGCAGGCATGTTTCTCTCCTTTAAAGATATTCCTTGTGGAAGATTCTTTGAAAAGTGGAAGGAAAACTTTGTGCTTGCTCCTGACGAAAATGATATTGGTTAGGTTGCAATCATTTTGAAGTTGTAAAATCCTCAAAGTTGAGCAGAGAATGAACTTGGATGAAGCTTATGTAATTTGTTTAGCGTGATCTATTCTTTGGTTTTGATGTTTTTATTTCTTGGCATCTTAATATGCTAGTTGAACTTTTTCTAAAAAAAAAAAAATGCTAGTTGAACTTGTTGGACTCCATGCTGTGTAAGATTTGTTAAGATTGTGAGAAGTGTTGACTAAAGAGTCTTCTTTGTTGCTCTCTTGTGTTGCAGAATACAGAACTGTGTCTGGAGTTGCTGGACCACTAGTAATACTCGAAAAAGTGAAGGTAAAAATCCATTCTTGGAAGTTTTTCAGTTGCAAAGTCTCCCAAGTCCTTATTTTCTTGTTCGATTTACTTACAATTGCAGTTTATATCAGGGCCCTAAATATCAAGAAATTGTTAATATTCGACTTGGAGATGGAACAACAAGGCGTGGTCAGGTTCTTGAAGTTGACGGAGAGAAAGCTGTGGTTCAGGTCAGTATTCCTTGGGGCTAAGTATTTTTTAAAACTATTTACGTATGAACTACTTTCTCAGTTGTTCTGAACCTTCCCATTTTAGCAAACTTGCCTGATTGCGTGCATTACAGTCACTTTCATGTTTAGGAAATTTTATTGATTGTGTCCCTTCTTATCTAACTTTTGATGTGTTTGTTTGTGACTGTACACTTCCATGAACAATTGAGAAGCACAATTAGCATTACCTCACAGAATGCTCTGGTTATGTTCAAGTGTTATAAATGTGCAGCTAGTCATGCACAGAGTCGAGGTCATACTACCTTATTGACAGTCTTCTCACATTGCTTCTTTCTATTTGGGTACAAATCTTTGAGACAGCTGAATGCTACCATTTCCTAAAGTGCTGAGGTCTGCAATTTGTATTCAAGTTGCATTGATTGTCTTTGTTTTGTCATTGTTATATGTGGAAGGTCATTGGATTTTGATCTTCTATGACAATGTTTAGAAATCGCTAGGCGCTTCGAGGCGCCAGACATCGTGTGTAGGGTCTAGTTGGCCACATAAGCACACACGTAGGCATTTTTAAGCACCGAGAGAGGAATATTTATTTTTCGAAGATTCAAAATCATATCCATTTTTTGTGAGATAAACTTGGATATAGATCTGAATTGATTCATTTTAATTTGAAGTCTGATCTTTTCTCTTCACCTGTAATACTTGAGTGGGTGATTAATCCCTTTTAATATGAGGAGTCTTAAGTGGGTGATTAACCCTTTTTAATACGAGGAGTTCACGTAAGCAGCTGATGTTCGCCTAGGCGCTTTCAAGAATTAAGTGGGCGGCATAGGTACCACTTTAGCTTAGGCATGCACGCAGACCGCTTTTTTAAACGATCTTCTATGATTCAAATGGATAAAATCAATGTTACATTAAACGTTGGGGCGCTTTTAGGCGTCGGACTTGGCGCCCAACGCTTAGTCGTCTAGGCGGGCGCCTAAGCGG